TGCACTAAGATTAGGTTGTTGTTTAAAAAAATGCTCAGACATTTGAGTCTTGCAGTGGAAAAAAAAGATAACATATATAGTTCCTTAAATAAGTCTTTTTTTCTGCAAAGATTCAATGATACTGTGCGGTATTTTAATGGACAAAAAAGAAAATTTAAAATTCATTTAGACCTAACTATTTCAGTCCAAGTTATCTACTTGAATTGGTTTCAGATTCTCTGTATCAATGGAAAATACGTACAGTTTCATACATATCTATGCTCAATAATAATTTAATTTGATTGTTCTCAAATGTTAAGCAACCCTTTGGAGTCTGCTCAGACATCTCTGTGCAGTCTGAATACAAGAAAGTAATGACAAAGTATTCAAGAGTTTTCTGAACACAGGCCTGTCCCAAACAGCTATGCAAGTTGTGGGCTACACAAAGGCATCGTTGGAGGGGGGGGGGAGCAAATTAAGTTTTAAAAATCAATTCTCCATTCCAAACACCAACTGTTTGTGCTCACTTATGTCAGATTTTACTTCTTCCAAAACAATGTGTATCACACAAACTAAAACTATCATTACCATTAACATCTTCTGGCCTGCATCATGTTGCAGTATTTAATGGATTACTTACCAAATATAGCTCTCTAAAAGTTGAAATTATGTAGATGCATATCTAGATGTATTTACTATTGCTCACTATTTGAATAAAACACACTTAGAGCCTTTCCTTATTGACCATTTGTTCACTGACCATTGAAAGTTACAACACTTAGACCAGTCCTTGAAGTTGCAGCCATCACAGTGTCCCCACAATCACATGACTATGTTTCAGGTAACTGGCAACTGGTGTGCTTATATAATGGTTGCAGCATCCTGTGGTCACACATGATGGTCATTTGCAACTTCACATCTGGCTTCTGACAAATCAATGGGGAACCTGGCAGGAGTTGCAAATTGTGGTCATGTGACATTGCACTTAACAATTCATGGTGATTTGCTCAATGACCACAACTGGAACTAACCAACTGATGTTGTAAATCAGTCACACTCGTGTGACATTTCACTTTAGAACTGTGCTACTTAGCAATGGAGTTGTTGCTCCCAATTGTGGCCAGTAAGTGAAGACTGCTTGTATTTTGTAAAATAATTTAGTCTTTGTATTACTGCATATCTGATGTTACTTTAATTGATAGATATTATGTATTAAAGGTAGTCATACTTATTCCAAACTTCTCATCTAGTCTTAACCATTGTCCTTTTGCTCAATTTAAAAAATTAGCAAATAAAATTAATGGGAAGAGGTGGTAAAAAAAAAAACATTTTGCACAAAGATGTCTTAAAGGGCAGCAGGTGCCCTACCTGAACATTTAAGGTGCTAAAATGTTATGTTTTGACTTTAACTATCATAACCTGCCTCGCTTTCTGAAAAGCTTCTGATTTGGAAGGTTGGATATGCTATACCTATTTGTTGCATTCAGAAAATATCTAGAAGTCAATCCACAAAACACAGAATGCAGTTCATCAGTAAAACAAGACAATAGCTCTAATACAGATTTACCTAAAAATAAATAACAATGTATTTGATGAGACTTATCTCAATGAGATTACTGTCTAAGGATAACTTTCAGTGACAACTCTGAATGGCAAATAAACTTTAGGAATATTAGTATGAAAAAGGCATAGGATAACTAAGGTTCCCAGACATGTTTGTTCTTTAGGACTTTGCCACAGGAATTGCCATAAAAATGACAACTACTACTATATCTTATTATTTTGGAAGTAAATATGTAAGCCTAACTTTCCCATTTCACTCAATGTTAAAATATGTATGTTTGCCTAGGCTATGTTCCCAACTGCAGTAAATGTTACTTATCTCAAAAAAGAAAAAAGAAGAGAAAAACGCTAGAGATATTGTTTTCCCATCTAATAGCTATACCTAATATCTGAATTCTCAGTTTGGTATCAATTATATATTTTCAGTTTGGCTTTTATGAACTTAAATTAATGACTCCATACTTTACTATGGATTTTATCAATTTTCATTAATGTGCCATTTCTTTGTATAGTGTGAACTATACAGTAAATTACTATGATCTACCACTTCTTTTAGGGGGAAAAATCAGTTAGCAGAAAGCTGACCCAAAATTAGATTTGGTTATTTCTCTAAAGGGAAACTTAAAGGACTGCTGGCATTCCCAATGTCTTGTGTTAAAATATAAAACAGTAGGCTGACCATAGAACTTCTTCAACCTGTGTGAGTCCAACAGTAACACTTTTCATAGGATTACATATCCCTGAGAAGTGATGTATATTTTTTTATGTGCAATACTAATTGGAAATGAACATTTTTACATTCAAATCCCATTCCGACCAAAACAGGTGTTATCCAGTAGACAAATAACTTGAATGTCTTTAAACAACACTGTCAAAGAATGTTTCTTTATCAACCTATTTTTACTGTACAAACACTATGAAATTTTAAAAGTGACTTATGCTTAACGCAATCCTGGGATATTTCTTCAGAAGTAAACCCCTATAGTTCCATTCACATATTGCACTAAGGCAAAATTTGGTTTTGGTTTAGTGCATGGGTGTCAAACTTGCCATGTCACGTGACATGTCGCGACGTATCACAACTTTTTTGGCATTGCCAGAGCTGGAGTGGTCGTGGCCTCTATATGATGCAACCGGCCTGTGGGCTGGCAGTTTGACACCCCTGGTTTAATGTGTCAGGTGAACCCATCTGCTTGTGGCTTATTCAATTAATGATTGCATAATTAAGCAAACCATGTCTAACATGAGATGCAAATTAGTTCCCAAAGAACTAGCGCACTGAATACTAGTGCATTTTTTTTCCAGCCAAGGTTATATCTGGAGTGAAGGTATTTTATGCAATGGAACAACTAGGAACACTTCAGCTGAATGGATCAGAGGACTGGGGGAAAAAATTACTCCGGTCATAAGCACTAATATGCTGCCTAAGGCCTGAAGGCCCCTATTGCTTAAGTCCTTAGCCGCTTTCTCCCCTTTCCAAAGCATCTCTCTTAAGGTGGCCCTCGCAGCTTAAACACGACAAGCATAAAGATGTGCTTCCTCTCATCACTCCTAAATCTCTCAGTATTTGTGATTTTTTTGTGATTTTATTAAATTTATACCCCGCCCTTCTCCCGGAGGACTCAGGGCGGCTTACAGCCAGTTTAAAACAATGGTACAGTACAATACAAAATTTAAAAAAGATTAAAAATAACTATTCAAATTTGGCCGCTTCTACTAAAAATTTAATTTAAAACCCCTCTAAAATACCCCTAGGCCTGATTAGGCCTAATACCCCTGATTAATTTGATACTGTGGGGATCATCTCTCATCCACACTGCTCACTTCTCTTGCAGGGTTCTAAGGCAGACCCACTGCTGATGCCCCCCCCCAAGGCTCTCAAAGGAACACATTTGTCCAATACGACCTGCAGCCAATCCAGCTGCAGGTCGGTCACGGTCGAAGGTCTCCCTCCTCCTCCTCCTCCACCCCGCGCGTTGTCTCAGCAGGTGTCTTCTGGCTCCTCTCTCCGGGTCTCCTCGCCAGGAGACCTGTTAGTGAACTTCAGTCCTCTGATCTTTCCAGCGCTGGTCCCTTCTCCCTCCACGCTTCAGCGCACTGGTGAGTTGAACGTTTGTCCCCCGGAGCACCCACGCACGGCCCCTCCCTTGCAAGGTATTTGAAGCTCACCAAGAAAAACACTGCAGTGGGTTGCCATGTGAATGAAAATAAATCCAGCTTGTCCGGACCGTTTAGCAACACCCTTTCCCGGAGGGTGGCTGACTGTCTCTTTTGCGCGGCCAGGTCGGGAGAAAAAGGCCGGTCGCTCACAGCGTCCTCCTTCTTTCCAAAGGAAAAGGAAGCCTCAGATTCTTCCCGAGACTTTTCTTTCTTTTTGTTTTGTTTTTTTTGCAGAGATGTTTGGCTCCGTAGCCCAGAGCCAGATTTTACGGAGGAGGAGTCGTCGCAAGGATTAGAGTTAGCCGGCCAATTTCTACCCCATCTCGGTTTCTTGAATAAGCCACATCACACACACACCATTTGCATCACACTAAACCAGGAGAACCAAAGCTTTATGCTCGAATTAGACGACCCCTGCGAAGCCAGGCGTGCAAAGTGATCTGATTTTCTATTGAACCAAAACTGAGGTGTCCGTCGTTCATCACCCGTCGCGGTAGGTAAGGAAAACCCGGACGCTTTGCTTTGCCTAGGACCCTATTTTCCAATTCCCCCCCCCCCCGGCCAGTTCTGCTCTCTTTAGACAATTCGCACAGACCTGTTGCCGTCTACCCGTCAGAGGGAAAGCGCCAGGGGGCATCCTGAAATAACGACACGCACGTCCCAAGTCTACGCATTTGGAAATCCCGGGCATCCCAAGTCCCCGTGCCCAAAACTGATGGTCCAGATCGTCGGAGGCCTGAGCTCGTTCAGAGCCCAACCTGTCCCCGGGGGGGGGGGGTTTCCTTCGCCCGTTTTAAGCTGGGAGAAAAGCAAAGGTCGGCTCAGCGAAAGAGCCAGGGAGGACCACCAGCCCATCCGCATCCGCGCTCTGCATCCGCGGGGCCAGCAGTTCCAGCTGTGGGCAGCGTTCCTCGTTCTAAGGGAAGCCTCCATCTCGTGGCCCTTCTCCGTCCGCAGGTGCCTTGGCGGAAAAGCCCGAGGGCAGGCAAGACCCGGGAGCCTTCGGGATTAGATTCTCCCGCGCATCCCGCCACACTCTGCAGCGAGCCCGCGCACCAGCGCTCAGCCAAAGCATTGCTCGCATCGCCGCCGGAGCGTTTGGGTCCTCCGGCTGGGACCAAGACTCGCCCTCACTTCCGGGCCGGTCCGAGCTCAAGAAGACGCAGCAGCGCCGCGGACGCCACGAGGCTCGGAACCCCCGCCCCGGAGCCCTTCTAGCCCTGACCCGAGTCGGAGAACGTCGGGATGGGGTCCAGGGCAAGCGGAGGGCGAGGACTGACGGGGGGACTCGCGCTTACCTGCTAGAAGAAGGCAGGAGCCGAGCAGCCCGCCCAGCACGGTCCCGGGGAGCCCCCAGCTCAACATGCCGCCCTCGGAGCCGCCGGGAAGAGAGAGAACGCCCGTCTCTGCCCGAGATCCGCTTCGCTATGGAGCCCGAGCGTCCGCTCGCCCGGCGCGGCAGGGAGGCTATTCTAAGCCGGCGAGATCCTCACTCCTGCCGGGCTCCGCAGCGCAGGCAGCTGGGGGGATCCGAAGGGTGCAGTATCCGAAGGGTGCTCAACTCACCGGGCTCAGCCCCTTTATAACTTCCCAGCCCGCATCCTCCTTTCCATCACGCCCCCCCCTCCCACACGTCACTTGGTCTGTTTCTCTCCCCCCCTCTTCTCCCCTCCCCTCCCCTCCCCCCCCACCCATTTCCAGCGATGTTTCCTGGCGGGGCGAGGAAAGCGAATGCTCTTTCGGGCACGTTTCCATCTGGGAACCGGGAGCACGACTCTTCCTCTCTGGCACGCTCTGGACCGTCTTGGATCAGGTTGGGGAGGGGGAAGCGAAGCGATCTTGGTGGAGACGGGGGGGGACGGGGACGGGAGCGCCGCACTGCCAGGCTTGTTATTATAACGACCTTCGCTCCCAAGTAGGTGAGCTTCTCCCTCGCCCCATCTCCCCCACCCCACCCCACCCAACGCGTCGCCTTGGCCGTTAGGAAGGCTCTTTGCCAATGGAAGGTGACTCTTGTGAAAGACACAGATTAAATACACGTGGGCTGTTTGCACCTCCGGGGTCTTCAGTCTCGGGCACAAAATGTTTTTTTTTTTCCTTTGCCTTTCACGCAAACTTTCCAACTTTCTCCCTGCCGGGCGTCGGGAGGAAACGGCCACTACTGCCTTCTCCGTCGAGATGCTCAAGATGTCGATGCGCCAGTTTAGTAACTTGCCTTGCCCAGAGAGAGAATTGGTTTTGCTGACGACCACAACTTCAAATGGCATCTTTCTCCCATTCGGCTTTTCCAGTTGGGGGTTTTAAGGTTTTCTTGGACTTTTGGGAAGTGGCCAACATTTCAGCCCTCCCCCCCTCCTCGCAGCTTTTTTTTTTTCCTTCCCCGCATCTTATATATATAGCCTGCCCTCTCGCAACTTTTTATCCATTAAAGTTATTTTCGAAATAGCCTTTGGGATGGTCTTTTTAACTGATCATTTTAACCCCCCGATTAGAAAGCACCGGTTCATCTAATCCAGGTCTGGGGCTCCGGGCAAGGGACCACCATGGCTTCCCCTCCTCTACCCACCAGATCGGGGGACACTGGCCAAGTCCCTAAGGCAGGGGTAGGCAACCTTGGCTCTTTTATGACGCGTGGACTTCAACTCCCAGAATTCCTGAGCCAGCATGGCTGGCTCAGGAATTCTGGGAGTTGAAGTCCACGCGTCATAAAAGAGCCAAGGTTGCCTACCCCTGCCCTAAGGAGACCGCTTTCCCTCAGACCAAAGACCTCTCTTCTTAGGCCGAGCACTGGTTTGCCACAACGCGCGTTCGCAACCAGACGGCCCTGCCTTCACAAGCAGGGTTGGCTGCTGATGCGTCGATTCTGAACGTCGAGGTTCCACACGTTACACCCCCGGGAAGTATGTTTGCTAGGTCGACGGGACTGGAATGCAGACGGGCAGCCTGTGCCGGCTGAGTAAAAAGCCTTGTCTCTCTGCGAGCGGAGAACCGTCTCGGCAAGCGTGACACCAAACGCGTGACTACCAAACGCGTGACATCTTTTAGGAAAGGAGACGGGAAGGCACCTATCTCAGGAGCTCCGAGGCTCTCCATCTATCAAGAGCTAACCCTCGCCGTGACACGCCTTGCACCACCCGCTGGTTATCTCCCAATGTTCCTCCCACCCCCACCCCCCCCAAAGGACACCAACCTCGGAGGAAATGTCCCCTCCAGGATATTACTCCAGCCCGGCCTTCTCACTTCTGAGATGGAAACTCACGACTCCCTTTCTTCTCCCGTCCCCCCCCCCCCTGCTGATAGCGCAATCTCCAGATCTGCCCTGACTTCGGCTTGGGGGGGGGGGATCCACCAAAGGAGCCCAACGGCCTGATCTGTGGCCGGCCTGGCATAGTTTGATTATGTTTTAGTGGGGGGTTTTGTATGGGGGTATTTTTTAGAGCAGGCCTGTTCTTTAATTTGATTTTAGAACAGAAATTTGTGTATATATATATATATATTATATATAAATTTTTTTATTATTTTGAACTAAACAACAAATACAAATGATGCATCTACAAACACCTCAAAAGAAAAAAGAAAATTTTTACTCAAAATATTTCCGGATACTCCCGGCAGTCCCCGCCCTGCCTCCACCCTTATCCACTTACCCTCTCTTTCCTCCCCCTAACCCCGCAACCTCTCCTCTTTCCTCCTACCGCTCTACATCCCTTTCGCCTTCTAACCAACACATCGAGTGCAAATTGGGGAACCTGCCGGGAATATCCTCTTATTATTACAATTCCATTATATACTTATAATTATTTATTACATCAATTATAAATTAGAAATTAGAAATTTGTGTATATTTATCGTGGTTTTTATTATCGCCTGTTCACCGCCCTGAGTCCCGTAAGGGAGATAGGGCAGTATATAAATTCAATAAATAATAATAATAATAATAATAATAATAATAATAATAATAATAATAATAATAATAATAATGATGATGATGATGATGATGATGATGATGATGATGATGATGATGATGATGATGATGATGATGATGATGATGATGATTCCGGAACCCAAAAAAATCAGGAGGTAATCTGGCAGCCCCGTTTCCGATTAACACATTTCGCTGAAAGGCAGAACATGTCGTGGGTCTTTTAATCCAATTTGCTAATCGGAGAAGGTGATACTAATCTCTCCCCCCCCCCCCCGGATGTTTTACTACCTTCAATTAAGAGTAGTAAATCATAAGCACTAGCAAACTACTCTTCCAGCCAGGCCAGGCCCTGTCTTGCTGCCCCTATCAATTCTCTGGTACTTTGCTGAATGGAAATGTTTAAAATCTGCTCCTGGTACACTTATTTAGGTACCAGAGGGACAAAGTGTGCGTGTGTGTTGTGTAAAATCATATAAATATAACTCTTTGAACAGAGACTCTAGAAAGTCTACAGAGAACAGCAACAAAGATGATTAGGGGACTGGAGGCTAAAACATAAGGAAAGGCTGCTGGAATTGGGTATGTCTAGTTTAATGAAGAGAAGGACGAGGGGGGACATGATAGCAGTGTTCCAATATCTCAGGGGCTGCCACAAAGAAGAGGGAGTCAAGCTATTCTCCAAAGCGCCTGAAGGCAGGACAAGAAGCAACGGGTGGAAACTAACCAAGGAGAGAAGCAACCTAGAACTAAGGAGAAACTTCCTGACAGTGAGAACAATTAACCAGTGGAA